AATCTTCACAGCATTTTAATTTACAAGAACGTAATTCTTATTTTCGACTGAAATACAGACAGAAATCGGCATCATTTACAATCCAGTGGCTGATCACTTGTACACGGCTATTCGAGGACGTGGGGCCTTCAAAAATGGAAAATTTATTCGTGCATCAAATCAAAATGGTAAACGTTTTCTTACATTCTACTTCATCATGATCAGATCAATTTGGTATTTTATTTCAGTACTAGGTGTTTGCCAAGTAGACTGCGAATATTTCTACGTAAATGATGAAAGCGTTATGGATGCGAAATTTCACAATTTGAGAAATATTATCAGAGGAGTGCACAGGTGAGAATTTTCCACTGCAAACTTGTGAAAACTATATGCACCGATTTCAAGTCTGTGTATCGAAATCCTAAATTTTCATGAAAAAATGAGGTAACTATTAGTCTCACTCCTTACTAATGTTGCTTCGATTTTGATGTTTAATCATTTACCAGAAATACGAAATCAAAGTTTCAAATATTTTGTACTTTGAAAATTGTGTACGATATTCTGTGAAATACTAATTTGTATTTGGGGGGAAAGTTTCATTGTTAGAGGAGCATTCGGACTAACTATCTGCATTTGGCAGACAAAAGAGATGGGTCGGTCGTTATAAGAAGTCGAAGAATCACTGGTCACTTAGGGCTTTCATACTCTTATTCTTTTCATTAGAAATTCTATTTGTATGAAGTCTAACTTTTTTTGCCAAAACGGCACATCTCCCGATTCACATTATTGAAAGTCACTTTTACTATATGAAAAGGATCTCTTTTCTCATCTTCTCAATTTACATTCGCCTCAGTCGTGTGTATAATCATAAGCCTGGATGATCGGTATCATGTTTGCGTTTCTTTTCTAGCATTCGTACCACTGGAAGTGCAGCCCTGGCGTTGTGTCTCGTAGCCGAAGGTGCATGTGACATTTATTTTCAATATGGTGTTCATGTATGGGATATAGGTACGACACATCTGATGATAGAATCGCTCTGACCTATTAAAGATGATGACTTTTGGCAATACATTCCTTAAATTTCTCAATCTAATGCAAGATAGATAGGAGAGACGCATGATTAATGCTTAATACTCACCTTATTCATTTTTTTTTCTTTTTAGCTGCCGGTGATCTCATCGCCAGAGAAGCTGGAGCATTTACTTGCGATCCGACAGGTTAGTACATATACTATACAAAACGAAAGTCAGAAAATCTACCGGAATTAAAATTTGGAAGATTTCAATAGGTCATTGATCACTTAAAACGATTAAAGATCGCAAAATATTTTCTAAATATGTGAGACTGAAACTGGACTCTAATTTACTAGAGAATATGGAAGGAAGAGTTACAACAAGAAACAAAAACGTAATAACTAGTAAATCATCTTACCTGGTTCAACAATTTCGATAAGAAATAAGTTTGACTCAATCCTCTCCTTTTCAGTGTTTGGGCTCTGAAAACAGCTCAATTAATCTTATGGTTTTGTCACTTCTACGCAGCAGTTAATTATAAACGTACAAGTCCAATTTCTCTCTACTATTTTCATCCACATCGGAGCTTGTTTTTTTTATCCATCAATCGCCCTAAGTGAAAGATTCCAAAGGTGAATAATGATTATGAAATAAACTTTGTACAATATGCTTCACGCAGTTATTATGATCTTTTGATCGAGAACTCTTTCGAAATTAAGTAGCCTGCTACTGTTTCTCTGTTCACATTCAAAATCAAATTACAGAACTACTCAAATATTCTGAATCAGGAATGAAGAACTACATTGAACAGTTATAGTTGCATGGAAAAATAGCAAACGTCACTTTTCCAAACTGTTGTTCGAGAAGGTTACCTGAAAAGTGGCTGTCACAGTTTTTTCAATATGATTTCTACATAGGTTTTGTACAATACACTGTTAATTACGATGAGTGGAAGTTTAAACTCGAAAACCTTCTCCTTCTCCTTACAGACACTGATGATTTTATCCTCCAACAAGTGTAACAAGATTTAACCACACTAGAAATCTTTCTTTCGGCCATATCAGATATTTCTTACTTCTATTTGTCAAATATTACTTATTTAGAACTATTCTTAACATTGAATGCATTGGTTACCTTTTTTGTTATCTTATCAATGTTTTCTGTAAATCAGATCTTACAGTTTTGATATTTTTCTTCTACAGGCAAAGACTTAAACCTATTCCATCGGCGCATTTTATGCACCGCCACTTCAGATCTCGCACATCAAATCATTCCTCTTCTTACCAATATCGAATTTCCATATGATTGATCAATTCATGACACAAATCACATCGTAATTATTATTATTAATTTTCGGCTTTCAAAACTGTGACTTTTGATTTAATTTGGTTCTTATTTGACTACTAATTTTAGCTTTTTTGAATTATTTCAATTTAAGTGCACTTTGTATTAGAACGTATTTCAATAAAATAATCCAATCCTTTATTTGTCACTATCTATGCATGAAATCAGTCTATGACCACTTCACGTTACACTTGTGAACTGTAACATCAAGTCCCTATTTCTTAAAATGTTGTCAACCACAATGGCTTCATAATGATGGTATAGATGTGATTTATCAAGACAGTGCGCACTCTATTCGTATGTTTGCATCATATCACTACACATCGGTATTCATTCAGTCATATACAACATACGCGAACTCATGCGAAATTTCATTAGGCCCTTTATTATTATCAATATTCTTAAAGTGAAAGATTGACACTAAATTGAAGGACATAGAAATAAAAACGGTTCATTTAACATGAAGCCATTAACACCATCTGCGATCAGTTTGTGAACACCGGATGTAAAATGAAACTTATCAATAAGTACATGTTTTGATGGATCTGAACAGTGCATTACAACAGAAGTACCATTCACTGTATTCCAAAATTGATCGACAGAATTCGTAAACTGTCCTGACTCATTATCAATAACTTTTTGATGATCGAATAGAGATTAAACACTTTCAAAGAAATTTGTGAGTTAATTTTCTGAATTATTATAAGACGAAGCTAAAGAATGTTATTGAATACAAATATGAGTTGTTAAAAAACGAAGTCAAGACCAAGTGCATGAATATATGGAAAAGCTTGGGCAGGTGGTTGATTGAAAACAAGAATATGTTTCGCGTCAAAGGCGATTAGATCACTGATTGCATTTGACAGACCGTTAAAAATTGCAAATGGATTTGAAATCTTACTAAAAACAAAATCATTGCCACCGGCCGACATGATATAGAGTGTGTGTACAAAATCAATAGTTTGTTCTTTAGTATTGTTTATATAGATTTCGATATGTTGTCGAACGCCGGGCACGGGTACTGTAGCTGATTGCGTGTATCCTTGAACCGCTACATTGTCAATTGCCCACCTGTATGTGCATAATTCTTTACATTCGATACTATTAATCTGTCTCCCCTAGGAGAATATCTAATTAAGTTACATCAGTAACTATGTATTGTGTATTTAAAATGTGATTATTTTCTTTATACACCTTAATTAATTTAGTTATTTTCGACCAGCATCACTAAAATATTACTAGCAAAGCAATTTGCACACATCTACTAAATTATCTGCTGTTTCTCCAACATACTTCGCCAACTCTAGGGAAAACCAATCCAATGGCATATAAAGTGACGTAATCACTTATCTCGATGATTTATAGTTGAGCGAAATATCATTTCTAATCGTCTCATAAGATAGTCCTATCCTTCCTGCTATACAGCGATGCGATCATACAGGACCATAGCGACCAGCCCGTTTTCTCACTTTTTCAGCACAATTTGATAGTTCTAGTGAGAAGGTATGTATTGATATAAAAAATATCGTGATTGACTATGTTGATGATCCATATCTGCATGCATTAACCTTTTAACTGACGACATAAAGGAAAGAAAAACATTTTACAGAAAATCATCATAGTTGTTTATTTTCGATCTAGTTTTTCGTATTTATATAAGATAACGTTAAATCCTTTGTAAGGTATGGAAATCTTTGAAAAAGTTGGTGATGCACAGACCAACATCGCATTCGGTACATTGGTAGCGAGTATCACGTCGTTCAGTATTGCTGCAAACATAACATCTTCTTTGAGGAGTCTGTTTGCTTTCATTTGGAGGAATTAAAGACGAAAAATGTCTGGCCGTCAATTGTAAACCCCCCAGTTTAGAAGCCCCCGGGGGCTTCTAAACTGTCCACCATCCAAAATTTTCGGAGGGGGCTTCTATTACGTCCTCAAATTTTTCAATAGTTTTAGATGAAAAATTTTGTGTATTTATGAGCAATAATTTTGAAAAAAATTATAATGATTTTACAGAAGCCTATAACATTATTATTTAAATTTAATAGAAAGAAACAGAAGTTTCTTTTTTCAAATTGGTTTTATTTTATTTCATATCGATATTTCGAAGAATAAATATTCATTATCGAGATATAAAATGAAATTATTACAATAATAGAAAACTTTGCATGTAACAAAATAAGAACAAAGAGAAGAAAGAGAGAGACGGTTATGACGAATAGAAATGAGTTATGGGTCAAACAGACTAGCCGGATTAAAAGTGAATTAAAAAATATGATTGGTGTTGCTTCGTTGAAACACCAATCATGTTTCTTAATTCAATTTGAATTAATTCTTCGTCGTGTAAGGCCGAAATCATACAGAACGAGAAAAAAGCGAATTAACTAATCAGAACACTAGAGCCGCCACAACACATTTAAATGATCTTTTTGAGATCATTTAAATTAATAGACCAATCGAATACGATTTCGTTCTACCAATAAAAAAAATGATGTGGCGCCTCCTAAAATTTGTACATTTTTTTGAATGAGGTGCATGTTCACGACCATGTCAGTCATAATCTAGCTAGACGTCGACATGAATATAGTCTATTTTCCTCATTTTTCATTCTTATATTATTCGGCAAGAAAAAGAATTATTTATTCATTTTTTCTTCACTTTAGAATGAAACCTCAACTAGTACGAGTTGTTGTGTCCTCCAAGAAAGATTTACAAGGTTCTAATCTTCCGCAAGCTGGAAGTGGAAATTTCACTCAAACAATACATCCAGTGGTTCATCCCCGAAATTATTTTTCACTTCAACTGGTGAACCCCAATACATCTCCAACAAATATTGTTACACCGTCTCGTGTATTTATGAATTCAACATCACCAACGTTTAATTTACATGATGAAGTATTAGCACATAAATCAAATAATTCACCAATTAATAATCGTGTTCATGGGGTAGTTTTCAGTCCATCATCTGTGGTTAACATACCTATTAATAAATCTGGTCTAAGTGAAATTGCTCCAATAGCAAATACGTGTAAGTACAATAATCTTAAAGACTGCAATTCGTAGAATTAAAAATTTTATAATTTCAGGTTTGTCTAGTAGTTCAGCTGTTCCACAACCAACAACGTTGCGGGAAAATTAAAAAAAAGTTGATTCTCCTTGCTATGAACAACCGCAACGAAATAAAAAGCTATCAAATAAAAAGCTAAAGCTTGATAATACAGGTACACTTATTAAAATTCTAGCATAGATTAATTTTTTTCTTTAGATGAAAGAGTACTTAAACGTAGTAGAAATTGGGCTGAACAGGAAGCAAAAACGTTTATCACAATATGGGGTGAATATTATTCAAAACTTATGTCAGGAGGATCGAGAAATGCTCCCATTTATCAAGCAATGACCGACGACCTGAATGAACTCTTACAAGGCCGTTCTCTTACGAGCACCGAAGTAAAATCAAAAATCGGTAATCTAGTGGCCGAGTATCGCCGACGAAGAAAAGAATTGGGTCGCACAGGTGGTAGTCCTTCAACATGGCCATTTTATGAAATGATCGACAAAATACTAGGTAATGTTAACTGTTTTTAATTTTATTATGAATTGATCTATTAAAAACATTGAATTCTTTATTAGATAGTCGATTATTTATCACATGTTTTTTTCATTTTAGGAGAACGGCCATATAATGATGATACCTTATTGACAGACTCCATGAATACGGATGAACAAACTCTACAAGACATGCCTCAACCAGATCTTAATTCGACTCAAATATCAGTACCTGTTCATGATTCAGTATCATCATCAGCCGATATTAATAAACCACAAAGTTCTACAAATGTTAATTCAAATACTCCAGTAGAATCTTCAAATGTTTCTGCTGTTTCAAAAGTTGATACCCCACGAAACAAATATTTGTCGAAACAAAAAAAAAATAAACGAGTATCCGAAATGAGGTAAGAAATTATTAACATGTTCTGGTTTATGTGTCTTTTCTTTTTTATTGAACTAGAGTGAATTTACTAGAAGACTTGATTGGCAAAATTGATGCTTCAAACGAAAGTGCAGCACGTTGTGAAGAAAAAGTTATTGAAATATTACAACAACAAACTGAAATTCAACAGCGAAGTGCGGACAACGAAACTGAATTTCTGAACATTTTTAAAACTCTTGTTAATAGTATGATAGCCAATCGACAGTATCATTTTGTTAAATTATTAATAGTGATATTTAGTGCATATTCTTCATCAAAAACCTTTGTTTCTCTGTAATTGTTCAGATAAATTTTCTATAATAACTGGTGGCAATGTTGTTTGTTTTGCACGCATCTTTCTTATTTTTGTGATCAATACATGTCAAATCATTGCTAAGAAAAATGTACTATTGTTCTCGGTAAATATTTATTATTCTTAGAATAAAATTCTTTGGTTTATAGAAATACTGTTTTTATTCAATTATCTATCAGTTTGACTCACATTTTGATCAAGCTAGTCACATCCATAGACTAAATATCAGTGCATTTACAGGATGATTATATGATTTCACGTTCTATTTAGTTTCTAGATGGAAATTTATCCGATTGTACAAGTTTTATATTTATATTTAAAAAAAAAAGAAAAATTGAAAAAAGAATTTTACAAGGCAAATACTGAATGTAAACGTTACATGAAAAAGTATCGAAGAAATTTAAATTATCGAAATGAGCTTATTGCTACGTTGGTTATAGGTGCGAAAAGTTCTCTAATCAGGAATCGTCGTTTGATATGGTGTTACCAAAGAATGGGTACATGGTGGACGGAAATTGTGCCATTGATGACGGACAAACAATTCAAGGAGAACTTTCGTATTAAACGTTCAACTTTTGATGATTTAGTACGTATAGTTGGTCCTCATATATCTAAACAAGATACAAATTATCGTGCTGCAATACCAGTCCAGAAACGAATTGCTTGTGCCCTTTACATATTAGGCTCTACATGTGAATTACGAGCAGTTAGCAATTTATTTGGCATCGGTATTAATACAGCTGGTATATTATTACACGATTTTTGTGATCTAATGATTGATTTGTTTTTACATAAATTAATTAAATTTCCAACTACCGATGCCGAAATCCGTGAAACAATTCAAGGATTTTTCACAAAATTTGATTATCCATCATGTTTAGGATCTTTGGATGGCACACATATCCAAATTAAACCACCTCTTGGTGCTGAACCAGATTATTATAATTATAAAAAATATCACTCGGTTATTATGTTAGCCACTGTGAATAGTGACTTATTGTTTACGTACATTAATGTTGGAGCGCCTGGAAGGTGTAATGATAGTTCCGTTTACAGCAGATGCACATTATATGATGTAGTTCGAAATTCAATTTACAATAATTATTATATAATTGAAAATAACGTAAAAATATGTGCTCATCTTATAGCTGACTCTGCATTTGGCTTACATTCAACTCTTTTAAAACCATATTCAGAACGATCAAATATGCCAAAGGAAGAATGTTTGTTTAATTATCGATTAAGTAGAGCAAGGAGCACAGTAGAACGTGCATTCGGAACAATGAAAAATCGTTTTAGATGTGTCCATAAGAAAATGGATTATGATATAAATAATTCCATTAAAATTATCAAAGCAGTCGCAATCATGCATAATATTTGCATTATGTCTGGAGATTATTCCGACTTAGATTGGGATCAACCGAATCCAATTTATAAAAAGCAAATGTTCAACAGTCAAACAGCACATGGAAATCTAGTTCGTCAAGCATTAACTGCTTATTTTGTGAAAAATCCATTGTAGGATTTTTCTTACAGATATTTCTTTTTTTGTTGTTTTTTTACTAGATATTTTTTGTTGATCATCAAAATAAATTATTATTACTATCTTTATTTATATTTTTATAGTTTGCTTCTGTTTTAAAAATATCGAAAGAATTTCTAAAAATTCAAGTAAAACGATTATACATGATTTGACTTGAATTTTATCAGTGTTTTTGTAATCAAACATTGATTTAATAATACTTGTATCAAAACTGCATGCATACAAGAAGGACATCTTTCAGTGTATGAGAGATTATTTTTTAGCAGATGCGCTACATTAAAGAGGCGCTCTCTTCATTTTGATTGGTAAATTGTCCACTTGGTGTGAATGCGCATTCACGTAAAATAACATTAATTTTCTTCATCTTTTGGTGTGATTGGGGCCTAATGCGTACAAGGTCTTATAAACATCTCTATAAAATATAGAGAGAT